CCGAGGAGGCGAAACGATGGCTTGACCCATCCATAGATAAGCGTGTCTGAAAGGCTTCCGGGGTTGTTCATTCCGATGATCTAGTCCATATTGCTACGTCAGCGATTTTCTATTTTGTAAGGTCACAGACGTGGGTCGAATAGATTACGTAATTGAAGGATTGGATTTATAGACTTTTAAGATTGTATCTGTTCATCTAAAGTTACGCACCCAAAACATAAGATACCTTCTTAATATTGCGAGTTTGTAGAACCAAATTCTACGTGGCTGAAGATGCTTTTTGAAGTGCTTTACGGAAAGATCACGAAGGTGTGTACGTAATCACTCTAATACACAGTGCTTAAATGAGAGGTTACTTTAGACATTTGGCATTTTAAACAGTTATCCTATCTCTGCAGTTTCGTTAACTGTTTCGATACCGCTACTTCAAGCTCCAATTAAATCCGAGTGAAATTAAACCGGGAATGACATAATCCGAAATAACTGACAAGCTTTATGGACTCTCACTTACAAATTGTCTTTTGTTGAATAAACGTCATTTGTTACAGTCTTGTTACAAACAAATGTTAATTTCCCTACTAATAATAAACCCGTCTAACTTTCGTAGATAATGTCACTTATTATAAATACATAATCGCAGTTTAAGTACACCTTGCTGAACCATTTCGCCAAATGCCAAATATCTACAGAAAAAACGTCTACTATTTACTGTAATAAAAAATGTCACGTCCATTTTCACTATTTAAACTGATAGGTATTGTTTCCAGCCCAGACTGCACCCTATTTCTTGGGTTAACTTGAGTTCGAGATATAATCGTACTTTGTCGTCTTTTTTGATGAGGCTGATGACTTTGGTTGCGGTTTGTTTACGTTATGTAAATCTAACGAAGGAGCGCTTGAGAGCTCCGTGAGTAGAACAAGGGAATTCGGTAGGTCTAGAGTGCCACTTGCGGGCTTAGTCCAGAGTCTATTTTCCAATTAATTTTGTTTTACCTCGATGAAACGAAATTCTAATATATAATAATATATATACAATAGAGGTCGGGTCAACTAATCGTCAGCTATTCTCTGTTTACTATAATTTAACCGTTTTCTTCATAAAATAGTTTAAGCACAGTTTGTCACGATGGGAACACTTGAGAAAGTGTAACATAATTTTTACAGAAATATGCAAAATGTACAGTCGATGGCATATCGACGAGGAAGATGTTGTTAACCATTTTTGTGTTCTTAAAGGGCGGCATTGTCTTTAAACACGGAAAATGATGAACAAATTGCGACTTTGGTTCATGTTCGACCAAATTAACTTCACGCTATAAGAAAAACAACTGTTTTTCTCTGAAGAAAAGTACTTGGCAATTGCTTCTACTTTTTACGCAGATTTTTCCAGAATGAGACTTTGGCAACCCAGGAACAGATCAGCCCAATTCGACCATTTCAAAAGGCCGATTCGTGTCCGACAGACAACATGACAAACAGGCCTAAACAGTTAAAACAGGACAAAATTTCAACGAATGATATAATCGTTTAAAGAATGTCGCAAGTTACCTTAACAGAACGAAAAACATCATTGTGATTTTGACACAACGCGAAGTAACAAAGATACTTATATACATATTGACTTCGTTGAAAATTGAATACGTGAATCTGATATTGGCTACCTATCTGACGAGGAAAACAGCTCTCAGTTAAATACTACGCGTAGAGTTCGCATGCCGTAAGTTGTTGGGTATTGAGATAACACCTGAGTCTGCCATTGGTTTTGAATTTGTTCAAAGCGACGTTCGGCAAGTCTTTCACCTAAAGGTTTCTCGTCTCGTGCTGATTCTTCGCCTGGGGTGCCTCGTAGCTTCCGGCTCTACGAGTCTTTTTGGACTTTACTAGTGAAGCGGAGAGATGCGAATGCTCAGCCTCGTAAACGAGCAAGCTTCATACGTGGTAATGCACTCGTGATGTATTTCTTCCACTTGAAAGCACTGATTTCCTCAAATGGTGAGGTTCTATGCTCAGTCAAAGAAAAGACGAAACTTCATGTCGTTATATCGGCTTTCAGCGTGAAATCACCAAAAATCTAACGACCATTTACTAAAACCGGAAAATGCTTGAAGTGTCTTTTTTAACAATTATTTATTAAAATACTTCAGAATAAATAGGTTAATTTATTGATTATTAATACGTTACATTAGTAACAAGGTAAAAGCAGAAACAACATATGCACACGTCTAAAAACGGGGTTTCTGCTTTGCGATCGTTATTTGTTTCCATTGGATCATTTAATGGACTATTGTAATCAACGTGTTAATATCTAGTAATATAATACAACAAGTATATCTTGGTGTACGCAATTTCTGCCCGTAAAATATAACATAATTACGTCTTTCTCTGGCTCATTCGCATCGTTAAGCAACGTTTCGCCATCTTCATCATAAATCTGAGTTCAAAGCAGAACCCCTATTGTAATATTCTCGCTGTGTGCTCCTGTTTTATTAGCTTCATTTCCCCTTCTGCTATTTTGGGTTTTTTATATAAAACGCTACTTATAACGAAAGTCCACCAGTGTATTAAGGTTTGATGCAGCCTCAAAAGTTATATTAAAAAATAAAATTCGAATGCACGTTCTTGCAAAGGTTCTATGAGATGGTTGCAGATAACGCTGTCAAGCCACGACTTGCTAGCTTCCCAAGGCGTTACCTTGACTTTGATCCGAACGATGGGCATAATGGCTGGAAAAGCATTGCTGGAGGAAGCCAAGGTAATTAAACTATTATTTTAAAACAGTTTTCATTTATGAATAGAGCAGAAAACACCACTACTGCCTACCAGTGAAACTAGTTTGTTGCCCTTAAAATTTCATTGCCTTCAAAAGATTCTACATAAAAACCTTGCCCGTGTAGGCGAACAACTCCTTCAATAATGAAAGCTATTAATAAAGAATTAAATGATGGATTATTAACTCAGTTTGCGAACGATATAGGTATTCAGTCTGACAGGCAACAAATACTAACTAGAAGGCTAAGGGTGATGACTTTAGGAACTTTTACAATGTCTTGACAAAGAGCTATTCATCAATGGATAAGGCAAGCAACGCTAATCGTAAGCCTTATGATGGTAACTTGCGGAAACGTTTTTACTAAATACAATCTATTTTATGTTGTAATCTATGGTTGAAAGACATATAGGCAGTAACGATTTCACCTGAATTGCAACAGAAAGCGATACATTTGTAGAAAAGTCTTTATTTACAAAGAGTATATTTAAGATGGACCACGATATTTAGACTTAGAATATAGGGAGAAATCTCTTAATCTGAACATGCTAAAAACTTTCACTTCTTTTACAGTTAACGATAGGGAAAGATTGTTACTCCTAACAGAAATATAATTATTTTTACAGGCGCATAATTTACTGTTCATGATGGCTCTATAAAAAGCTTTAAGTATGTATACCAATAAAAATTACGTTTCGTACAATAAAACACACTTCAGATTCAGTCAACAAAATTTAAATAAAACAAGAAAAATATAGTAATTGAAAAGAAAGTTAGATAAATACATCTTGGTCTTAAAGAGAAGCAATGCCCCTTATATGAATCGACTTCAGTTATAGCATAATGAACATAGAACAGAATGATACTTACACTCCTTCAAAACTAACTCCACGGTACCCTGGTACGAAGTTATAGTTCGCACACACTGACACAGTGAACTGGATCAAAATAAACTTAAATGTTTCCATTTTTATGCCCGAACCGAAGCGTGTTCCTACCCATATTTCTCCACGACCCAAGAAATGTGTGATAAAAGCGTTTCGATAAATAAATTCACGTTATTATTGATAATATACACCGGCCTTACACATTCACTTCGTTCGATTAGTTTATGGAATAATTAAATTATATAAATAAACAATATTTGGATTTTCCGGATTATCCCTGAATCTTCGACCGATCGTCCAATACCTTTGAGGTGTGTAACAGGCAACAACTTAGCAAAATGTTAGGTCGAGTATACACTGGTAGCACCTTGATAAGGATTCTGCTAAACTCCAACCAAGAGAGTGAACTAGCGACCCAAGTGACCCAAAACATTGTCTCGCATCTGATTCATTATTTCTAAATCAAAGTGATTCACAGACTCAATTTAATTTATTCTGATAGAATTCGTTAATTTAATATACAACTCAGATTACTATTTCGTTGTTTTAACAGTTCACGATTCCAACATAGCGGAAAAATAACTTGAAAAAAGCCATTAGTATAGCTTATTCTACAACAATTTCGCATTTGGTTTTTTTAATCAGGCGAAATTCGAGCAAATCTCTTGGAACACAGAAACAGTTTATGATTATTAGTTTTATTAGAGTCTTTTTTTTTTTACTGATTTACTTACTGATTGAAACGTCTCCTATACTTGTAATACCACCAAAAGGGTGCTGGAAATGATAGCAATTGAATTTATGGAAAATATTAGTAAAATTAATTTGATCAGAATGACGTTAAGTAATGTTGCAACCTAACAAAACAAACAACACCTGGAGATGCCAGCAACAATACGATATTGAGATAAGAGTTTTACACAGGCAACAATGGTGATTCACTTTTACACGAAACTTATCAGTACTTTTATGGAATTATTTTTAACCTAATAAACAAAAATTTTATAAAAACAATAACATAGGTTTTTGATAAAGTAAAATATGGTAGCAACGGTATAGCGCTTAAATACGTGAACTGATTTATCGAGGCGATCACGTTGACCGATAGTAGTTATTTTCGTGTTCATAATATATTAATATATATTTTAGCAAGCAGTATTTAATAATAAATAAATGATGACACCTGTTATTCTCAATGGTTGCTGTTATGAATGTAATAAATACTTATCACCAAATTCGTCTGCTACTGGGCTCATGTCCAGGTCGCGCGGTTTTTTCGACAGCTGTACCCTTTCCTCAGCTGTTGCAGCTTATTCGATCTAGATGAAAGCAACTATTGCTGATAGCTGAGAAACTATTGTTTAACAAATGTTGCTGACACCTGCGTGTACAACGAGTGTTACATTGTAAAGAATAACTGGTATACCGCCAAAGAGAGTGCCAGCATGTGACAAATATATCGCCGGTATGATGAACTTCGCCGACAACGTCGAACGAAAGTGCAGAGAAATTCACTGAAGATGGTGCCACGTGTGACCCAACTACGAGTGCAAAACTCAATTAGAAGGTTATTCAAGACTAGTCTGGTGTACCCGTAGAGAAAATTACGTAGGTGAGAAACCGTTATGGTTAGGAAAAATATTTTACCCGCGAAAATTTTGGACGCGATGCAATCGACTAGTTTGAATTTGCGTGCATCGGCCGGATCGTCGAATCAGTACCAGTGGGAACAATGTCCCTTCGACTTCACGATCGAATGTGCCGATGGAATTGTTCATGCTCACGGGAGCATCCTCATGGCATCATCCGACTATTTCAAGGCGCTCCTTTCTGGATCCATGGTTGAGAGCAAATCGCGAAAGGTATATCTTAAACATATATCGCTAGTGGACATGACTAAAATCATCGATTTCAGCTACGAACGGCCTGTTGATCTGGATGCCGAAAGCGCTTTGAGTCTACTGATAACAGCAAGATATCTGCAAGTCCACAAGTTGTTTACAAAGTGCTTAGGGGTAGTGAAAGCTCATCTGACCTTTAACAGCGTGCTTGAAATACATCGATTTGCGAAACAGTATTGTTTAATCGATCTCAGAGAAGTTGTCTTCAGTTATATGACAAAGAACATTGTGTCGCTCATGGCCATCGATCAGTTTCTATACGACCTCGATGCCAATCTTCTACGAGCTTTGCTCGAAAGTGATGAACTGAGTGTGCCAGACGAAGATTTCGTGTTTAACTTTTTCAAGGCATGGTTTAATAGAGATCGGGAGGCTCGAGTAGAGTACGTAAACGAATTCAAAGAGCTAATACGATTTCCTTTCCTTAAAGTGGCTACCGTGGCAACCTTAGAAGAGACCTTTGGCCCGATTAAATTTCTGTTAGAATTTCGAAAGGCTGAAGAGCATCATGAAGCAAACGTGCGACGCTGTGGGGACGCCCTCATGGACCTCTTTCGATTTGCGTTTCTATCTACAACGTGTCTTGGCGTTCGTTTAAAGGAGACTCTCGGTTCAGCCATTGGCCTAGACGAACCAGCCAAAATTGGACGAAACCTGCAGCTGTCCGCGTTTCGACGTCGGCGGTACACTCAGACCCACTGTCATTTTCTATGGCAACAGGAAAATCATGACACTCCCCATCCTCACCGTTTGGTCCTCACGTGCAATGTTCTTGGAGAATCCCAAAAGGTCCTTATGCACGGGAAGTGGATGCAGATGCCGCGTCTAGAGGATGTGGTGGCTAGCGGCCATACCCTGTACTCCCGCACCTGTAAATCAATACACAGTTACAGGGCTAACAACAGCAAAATTCATATAAATGCAAAACACGATTCCCTACTCAAGCCTGAGCAGATATATAAAGTTCGAAATGTGCAGCAGGAATACCCGTTTCGGCTGTGTGCGACAAAAGGCGGTGTTTTGCATATGATCTCAAATCCAAGATCACCAACTATACATGTACTTAATACAACTACTGGCCAATTTAGAAGGCTAAAGACCACCAACAGCAGGATCGGAACACAGCCATTCATTATTGACTCTGGTGATAAACATTTGTCCGACCAATTCATATTTGACGAGTTTAACAAGTGCTTTATCGACCCGGTAACAGGAGCTCTCGAGACGCCCTCCAATCCACCTCTGGCTAAGGACGGCATCCGTTGGTACTCGGCAACACAACGAGGTGACACCGTCTTTCTTTGGTACGGTTCATATAAGACAAAAAATCACTTCATGAGTGCGCTGAGCCTATCCACTGGACAATGGAGCGGAGTGATCGAAGTGCGCGACCGCAATATCGCCCTGGGTCATACGAACTCGTTAGTTATTCAGGGTCGAGTCTACGCCATAGTGAAGTTCCGTGAATATCACCGATGGAGGGTCATTAAGCGGATTACTATACATATGCTGGACGAGGAAAATGGCGTCTTTCAACGAGTGCAGGAGCTGTCGTTCCGAAATAGCTGTTTAGTAGGTATGGCACCGGTCGATGCGGCCCCTCCCTGTTCTATGGATACATGGCTCTCTGCGGAGATTCGCAAACTTCCAGACGAAACACCGAGTCAACGAGCATTAATTAAGCAACTAAGAGAGATTGTATGATAGAATGCTAGTACGGCCTGTGGATAGTTCGGCAACTGTAATTTTCGTATTTCCAGTGAAATTCAACGATTAATGTTGGATTTATTTGCCCCCGCACTCGTTACAGCCTTGAGTCAAACAGAATTAAGTTAACATTCTAAAGTTCGGAATAAACGTGTCACTTACATGATTTTGTTTAAGCTCTGCTCACCTGATTTTTATCAATAATACATCCAGTGTTCAGTGAGAAGCTTCTGTGAGTATCCCTACTAGCAAAAGAATATACAATTATGAGTAACTGTTTGTAAATGTCCGCCATCCGATCTGTGACAAAGTTTACGCATACAGGGAAGAATGATGCTTTGTGAGAGGTTTTGTACCATTGAACAAATGTAGATAAACCCATAATTACTCATAGAAAGCACAGAAAGATATGTAGTGTAGAAGAAAAATAAATGGCTTATGGTAACAACGTAGAGATGTGTTTATCATTTGCCAATAACCACGTTTTTTCCATATATATATATATATACATTCATATGTGTTTGATATCGACTTGACACACATACATACACAGTACAGACTATGTGACGTATGCCAGAACATATTATGGTTTTGCGTGTGTATGGTAAAATTAAGCCTCCAAAACGCACATAGATCAATAACCGGTATGAGCACGCTAATTGCGTATGATGGTAGTATTTCCATAAACTAATTGTGTTTAACGTGTATATATACACGCCAAACAACGATCTCTGATGGTGGTCTGTCTATGCATAAATGGCAGGTAAATTTTTTTTATTAGCCTAGTAACGTAACTGTGTTTAATAACAAAGTGTTGAGCCGTGCTTTCTGTTACGTTCAGGCTACGTTTCACTTAACTGCAATAAACCGTGTAGTGCACGGTCGTTTGGACCTTATCGTCAGTCTCGTATACATATAGTGACATTCTTTGACGACAGACTTGACATTTTATAGCCCTTCACAAACAAAACAAGTATTTTGTTAATTTGCTTACTTCACACAAACACGTTACTTATGGACCTGACGTTTATAGACAAGCCTTACACTATCACAGCATATGTCGCTTTTTAACGATCGCTACTAATAATTTCCTTCTACATAATCTGAGATAAGGGGCTGATTTTTCCATCATGAACCGTTATGGCGAGCAGTCAGTCGTACATCGAAACATGATGAAATCTTCTGGGGTGTTTCATGGAACCATCTCACTCACCTCTGAAGCTCTCCATGTTTTAAATTTGCGTCGCTCGATCTCGTGATATTCTATTGTACACCAAGCGCAAGTGGAAGTGTTACGATGTCAGATGATTTACCGCTCTAGGGACAGCAGAATCCGTTTGTAGTACGTAATATAGCCTATAGAATTTAATTTATCTGACACGGATCATCATAAGTATGTAAACAATTTCAATTAGAGACGAACAATTATTCGATTTGTTCTAATTAACCTTGTACGTGTTAGCTAAAGTAATGCTAGTGCTGCTTCCGAGCCACGTCGTAATAAAAACAGTCGACGCTCATGGAGAAGACCCCGTAAACGGGCTAGTTAACGTAGAAACGTATTAAAAATAAAGCCAAAAGTAGAGCGGCGCGTGTAAACAAAGCTACAATAAAGTACTGTGTCTATAAGTACGGCAAGATTCAAGCAAGTTTCCATGCTAGTCTTAGCTGAGGTATTATTATATAATAAGATAATATTATGTATTATCGTCATAATAACTACGGTGGTAATTATTAGTTTTATAGGCAGAGAATACGCAACCTAAGCAAAATGCAGCTTAACGCCGCCTGCAGATATAATCTAGTTTCGACACTGTAATCAGTTCGTAGGCGGTCCTACGCCGGCCTGATCTATAGATAAACGTGTTTAAGAGAAACAGGCCATCGCTGAAAAGAGCCCAAACGACTGATGTTCACTCTAATTGCTCCATGGAAACACAGTTATCTGTCTGTCCTTGATCTGCTAACGAATACTTTAGGCAAAGGATCATCGGATACTTGTACATGCAAGTCGACTCGAAGAGCTGAGGAGGATTTATGCAGATGAAGGAATTAAAGGCTACAAATAGCTGTTTAATAGAAACTTGTTATGCAGGTCTCTGGTAATGCAGGCAGAGTAGTTTACTAAAAACATTTTAAAGCTCTCTGATGGTATTCAAAGGGCGCTCGTTAATTATAGCTGTTGCGACACACATCTGAAGATCAGAAATGAGAAAAGTACACGTACAGATTGTTGAATAGAGACTTCGGTAACCTAATGAAAGAAACTGCGTTCTTCACTCGAATCGCTTAAGAGCCCTTGCCATGTACGAAATAATTTGCGACGTTCTAACAACGTTAGCGTTGTATCTTCACCACTAGCCATTAACTCTAGTCTCTAATAATAAACAGCATTAATAAAACGCGAAGTAAAACAGAGTCTTGGATAAATTTCGTACACAATTCCAAGTTCGCATCCGACAAACAACAAGCAAGCTTGTATAAACAAATATTTAGTTTTCTATTTAATTGTACAAGGAGTAGAACAAGCACATATAGGAAACAAGCCAAAATAATAACTGTATGACATTTATTCTGAAGTTAGTCCGTAAGACCACGAGTGCCAGATCCGAAACATTGAGAGCTTTTGATTGTCATGCCAGAGTGAAATTACCATGTGGTCTGAAGGTCATTTGTGTAAGAGATTGTCATCCATGATGAGTGCTACGTGTGGATCTGATGACTGCTAGCCCTTACATCTCTTGACAGCTGGTCCCATTTTTACTGTACGTATCGATCAACTGCTATAGCCGTCCATCGTCCTTAAATAACAAGGTTAGTCTTCTATATTTCCGCTGAGTGTCTTCAGTATATGCGATGTACATCGCTACGCTCTGTGTTTATAAGAGACATCATTATGAGCCCAACGATAGGTTGATAGAATTTCTTCTAGGATAAAAGGCGCCAACCAAGACTTCATATTGTCGCCATTGAAGCTGCATTGGCTATCGTGCGGATCGATTGGCAGTCGACGTCTACCACGACTCGATCCGGCCACTGGAATTAAACGTGCACAGGCAAACGAAGCTTTTCGGACTCCATAATCGAACATGTCGATATAAAAAAACAAATCGGATCCAACTGTGTCAAAGCGCTTTCTGCTGGATCTATTTTGGTACCGACAACCACTGATTTTGTCTACATGTAGTGTTCTTTAACCCAAATGTAAACGGGTTTCTGACCTTGCTAGTACATCATTGGGTTTAGGAAAGCAATATAACGCACAACATTCAGTGTAAACTTTATTTTTTCATTCATTTTTTGTTTCTTTTAAATTACTTTCTGTAAAAGGTGAAACTTTCATTAAGGTTCGCTATACTTTTCCAGTCATTATAGGATTTGGATCCTGTACATGTAAGGCTCACTTAAAGTTCTTTTTTTTAGTTGCATTACGAAATTCGAAATAACCTAGAACAGATTGCATCCCTTTTTTAGGTTTATATAAAAAAAAATTTTCCCCCATTCTAAGCAATGTTATTAATCATTATATAGCCTTAGATACCGGTTTTATTGCTATTTATCTGTGTGGTTCCGCTTCAAGGCTTGGCCTCTATTAGTTGTTGGAGAATGATACTTTTTGTTTTTTCCGATTATTTGAATTTCTTAATTCTCCGAACTTAAGCGTCTTGCTCTTCAAGTTCCCATTTACGGTGTTTCCGCAATAATGCCGTTAAATATGGGTTACGAATGAAACGCGGCATACTTAACAGTTTGACAGGTTTATCTCTCATATTACGTATGTATCATAAATATTTTTGCTATTATTTATTCGGCTGCTGTTTCAGAAGGCAATTTCGACTGCTAATATTTCAGAAATTTTCCTATTAAAAAGTCGATATTTTTAAAATGATTATCTTATGATATAATGAGATATTAAAATGAGCAGTGTTTATTTAGTGAGTATCGTGGATGATAGATGCTTCTATTCTGGATTTCTTCAAGCCCTTCTCGAATGAGAAATTACCAGTCTTCGATGGTTAATGTGGAGATTTTTCGTTGTCATTAACTGACGGTACAGTACAATCGTAACCGATAAATCAGCCCACTGCAACGGATAATACCTACACTAGACCATCGAACGTACCCCCTAAGTTACTGCAGCTGTAATGTTCTATTCATTCCACTGATCAACTCGCCGCTGTAACCAAGGGGAAAATCCAGTTTTCATCATAGTCAAGCATTCGATGCAAAAATCGATCACCGTTGTTGGAAAAAACAAAAGCAGGCGCCCTGTAGCCTTGGTTTTTCATTTTTACTCAAATTATGTGGCACTCAGTTAAGGTCCGCCGGGTTTTAGCACAGTTTCAACTTTTCGTTGCTCAGCTGTGCAAAAGATCTTCGACGGGACTTGAATACGAGGTCCTGTTAAGTTCAAAACTACAGTGTTTAGATTTTTCAAACCAGTACAGCAAGCAGGTCTTCAAAATCAGGGCCGCAGTCCCAAAACTGATCATACGGTGCCTGACCGAAAAAGCAACGCTTAGTACAATCCTTATCGAATACAAGGTTCATACGACGAAACATCTCAACACTCTAGTTTCAAGTTGAAATTCATATATGCAACTAAGTTTTTCTTATTTTTCATCTTCTTCACGACAACTCATCTCCTGAAAGCCCGAAGTGCCGCTATTCGAGTGGGCGGTCCTTAATTTCAAAAAACTGTGCGTGCGTCTCGAATACACAAAAGTGCTGCATGGAAATATCGCACCGCTATAAAACGTTGTCATTTTGAAATTTAAGGTTAACGTTTCTTGTGCCCCATACTGAACCACCAAAAAGTTCAATAACTCATCCATGCATAGGTTATACACGCAAATTAATAGCTTAATACAAGGGCAAACGTGATGCCAGGCGTTCTTGTTATATTGAACTTCCAAAATTTATGAGAAGATTACTCGTTGAGTTACGCTATTGCTCTTGCTTTCGTAATGTTCATTGAGAATTCCTTGCAAGTACTACTATGGCTTTGCTGAGGCTATACAGTCATACGGATTCGAAAGTTTTCCCACTGCAATTGGTCAAAGTCCTTCATATTGATAGAAGGCCATGTAAGCAGGCACTTTTGTTGATTAATACTGAGCTGATTTTGAGGTTAAATATTGACTGGATTTTTGATCGTTCATCGGCTAGCTGTTCCGTAGGAACCTGCGTCTCTTTTCGATCAGACACTGTATCATCAGTTTTGGGACTGCGGCCCTGATTTTGAGTACCCGCTTACTTGTTCTACGCTTTACTGTAGACAAAGTTTTCACATTTGCCACTTGCCTGAACTTTGTATAGAAGTCCAGGCAACTAGAATGTAAGATTGAATATCTTCGGTCCATTAACGTTTCCGTTTCTACAATATCGATGTCATCATGCGAGTCATTGATTTTGCAACTGAGAACAGCCCGGACTGGTCCCCCAAGCCCAATATTTCTCAGCTAAGTACTGCAGAAACCAGCCTTTTCATTTCTGAAAGTAAATGCGGTACTAAACCTACAATAAAGGTAAGCCACTTCTAGCATCGAAAGGTAAACCATCGTAAGTTCAATAAAAACGTAAGGAGGGTCGATAGAAATTAATAATGTAATAGGTACTAAAATAAGCAATTTGTGTCTGATTTTTCAACGAACATTCAACGGAATCGTGTACTCCGAAGCAACAACCAGATTATACGTCTGAAAAAATGTACACATGTGAGTTCTAGAAAATTCACGAAAAATTTTCAAGTCATTTTACGCATGATAGGGTCCCGCATCGTTTCAATTGAACTGAGAAATGACTACGCTTACTGAATTCTGCGAACCAACTCAAGTTCTAATTTCAACGCCCTACGCGACCACGTTCAAATCGTCTCACGTTGAACGCATTAAGTGGAACGGAGACAACGTAAAGTTCGAAGAGGGAACGAAATAAACTATCGCTGAAGTTTTTGGCCCCGGAGACGGAGACCGTTGACTCGTGTCTCGTAAAACGCCATACAACCGCAATGGAAAGAGCCGGGGAATCATTACAGCTGTCACGGCCCCCGATGTAAGTAGCCGTAAGGAGACGCTGGACAGCTGATTAATGCAGTATCCTAATGCTGGCACAGTACTTACACGAACGTAGCCAAAAAGCGAAAGTTCTATACAAAGCTAAAATAGAAATGAGTGAGTCCGACACGAAACGAATGTGTCACAGTTAATTGTGAAGTCCGATCAAATTTCGAATCATCTGAACCCGTAAGGGTGACGATTTGTTTGAAATCAACAGAATTTTCGTCTTCTTACCGAACAGTCCTTCAAGGGCCCCTTAGGGTAAGGGGTTCAAAAAAAACTAATCCGAAGAACCGAGAATAAGTGTTTCTGACTATATTCATCACTTTTTTTATTATGTTACCATTTTCACTTGGGGACCAAAATATGTTAACGGTCAGATTCGAGGCTAGACCACCTGTCTCCCTATGGCTAGTCAGGAAAAAACATTACCATTACACCATCGTGGGACATTGTTATCCGCTAATAGTGTCAACAGACACCTTTGAATCCTCTATTCCTTCCTGCCTATTGCATTCCTCTCACAGCTGCCTATTCTTACTGGACGAAAAAACCAGTACGTATGGCTCCAAGTAACATCATAGATGAAGTTAACGATGAATGAAGTGCTCAGCGTGGCAACACTCGTGATCGACCTATGATGGTCCGTACGTAATCACACCATTAAACATCTGTTTCTATTTAACCTAAAGACGAAGGCAATAATTGCCATCAAGAAAAGACGTAAATGATACTTAAGAAGCGCTTTCAAACAAACGATAGTTCGCTCGCGCGGAACCTAGGAAGAATCGATCGCTTTTGCACTTGTACGTGCAGCACAGACCCCTAGCGTCAACCTAATGAGTCTCAGCTTTAGTGTAAATGAAGTTTTTACGAGTTTACGATCGAGGTTCTTCGAAGTTTTATTGCATTGGTTGCTTGAGCGCACCACCGAGTTAGTGAGTGCTTAAAAATGAGTTTATAATCTAATCGCTGGTATAAGAAAAAAAGAAAAAAAAAAGACTGCAAGGTAGATCGGAAGCACAGCCATGTTGATTTAAGTTGTCGACATCATCCACGTACGACCCATTGATATTGCTGTAGGCAGCGTTAGTGACCTATTAATAGCTTTCTGTTATCTCTAAGTGACCTAAAAGCTACCAAATTCTCGGAGACATAACATCAAGCTAATGGGCCGTGAAAAAGCCTACTTGATGAACCAACCGATCTGTAGCACTATCCTAAGATCTGAGCTGATTCGGATGTAATCTAATTAATCAAAGTGTTTCGATAAGCTTAAGTACAGCATTAGCTCACGCAACGGCGTTATAATACACTGTATTGCGGATCAATACTTTAACTCGACTTTTGAAAGCCTAGCTATAATTTCGTAATTAAGAACGCTGCGTCATTTCTTGACAAAGATTCCAAAAAATCCTAGCTAATGTCAATGCCAAGTTATGATTTCGTTGTATCAATTTTCAATTAACTTACTTTCCAGTTAACTTCGAATCGTAAAATCAGAACGAGGTACGCGAACGATGAAAACAAGTCGGTGCCATAATTTCTGTATCTAGGAGAGAACACGGCCATATGTACCTAGAGATTCTAGAACACCGAGAGACTATAAGCAGGGCACGGTAATACACGAGGATGCATTGACATTCATGGCGGGTGAGCGGGGCACCCGCGTCCTGAGTGTCGGTTCAAATGTTTGTATTATTCATCATAGGAGGAAAGCCAACGGATAAAGCTAGAAGCATATGTTGATGTGCATTTATAATTACATTCAACTTATAATGCACAAAACGCCAAAAGTCCAAATTTCTGCTATGATAAACATCACCATGTTACTATCCATCGGTGCGCCCCACGCCCTTTGTGATTGGTTCTAGATAGTCGCATTTTAGCGCATTTTTTAAGGAAAATTCGCCGTTGGTTTTCGATAAATCTATCACACTATACGCCTTCGTTATTATTTTTTTTCATCAATCGCAGCTTTCTAGTATAGTTTACATATTTACTCGTCGCCTGTTTCATTGAAGCTACAACCGTACCGTTCGGGTAATTCGTTATATATATATATATATATATATATATATATATATATATATATATATATATATATTAGTAATGCAGCCAGATCGTTTCATTATTTGCTTTGATTGTTCAGCTAGCTTGGTTGGAATATTTGCTCGTCATATTATAGTCTGTCGATGATTCCATGCCGCGCGTCTCTTACGTTAATTACCATAGCGTTCCTACCACCTTCCGTTTATCTATCGATGAAACTAACCTAAACTGTCGTTGATTCTATTAAATCGGCCCAACAACACACGTAAACACATCAATAATTTTTCAGCCGTTTCCTGGGAACAAGAGCATGGATGAGGACGAGGAAGACTCAATTTTATTTTTTACCCATAATAATGTTTTCAGCTAAAATCTGTACGCTTCACAAAACACTTCGGCAGTCATTAAAATATCCATCTACAGATTAAATTTTTACGTACAGGAAAAATTACAAAAAAAAAATACAAGAAAACTATCAAAATCCTCAGAGCCATCTTTTAGGTAAGTAATCGGGTGACTATAGTTAAGTAAATAGATGGTGCGTGTGTTTACATCTGACACCGGCGTTAAACATTGCTTTAGAGGGCTGGCTGCGAACGCTGAACGAAGCGTTTACGTTCGATCTCGAACAAAGATTACATGGTGAACATGTACACTAAGACTCAGACATCTTCATCGCTCGAATCATCGAGACTGCCCCACGTCTAATTTCGTTGTTACTTAGCCTGCCAAGGGTCCAACAAACGTTCTTATCGCGAGCGAAGTCGAATTACGGCCAGCGTACGCTTTCCTAATGTACTGTCCAAGCAAGCAAACGTCACGTAATCACTCGTCTCCAACTAAGCGGAAGAGTGACAAAAAAGTTCACTTGCCGAATCTACATACGTGGACGGATGCAACGCCTCAGAGGAGATCGAACCGTATATGCACGCCCTAATACCAGGCACACTGATGCAGTGGGGCGACCTACCCAGCATAAGCTTCAGTCAGTATTTGTATATTTATGTATGCAGCGTCATCAAAATCAAAGTCTAAGATTACTCGACATGCCAACGTTTACCCGTTTGCTGTAACTTCACGCAAAATCAACAGCGACGTTTTAAAATGAGTTTCGAATTGAAGTCGTAATTGAAATAGGTGGAAGCTGCGCTAAATGAATCGGTCCGTACGAGCTGCGTCTGCGTAAAAATGAACACAGATTATTTTTATTTTGGTACAGGCATATGGACACGCGGAGTTTTCCTATTTATAGTTTAGGCTTAATTAACTTTTTTTGATCTTTCTAAATATATAAAAGCACTGTATTTTGCTAGGTTGGGCGAATATATTTCTATCAGGTTCAGCGTATCGCTTGTTTTTAAGGATCGGCTCCGCGATCTTATTTTTGCTCTGGTATTTCATAGAATATCGGGATTTGTTGTTATAATTAGGTTGCCTTTCCATAGATAGAAAGGCACCGTAGTAGCTCTTTATTTAACGCTTTATCAATAGTGATACCACTGATAATGATTATAGCTTTTACTGTTCCGCTTGGATACATTATGTACATTGGCGTCCATAATAAATGAACTGTACGTGAGGGTAGAATCAGGGCAAATTTTTTACGCATTCATAGCTGCATGTTATACCGAAGTGAACATGTCGTATATTGATAACAAAATTAGCAGAGTTGGGCATCGAAAACGAGGAGCTACGCTCAATGTTGCTACCGAAAAGAATGTTTGAGTGCACTTCTTTTACATCCATACCATAAATCGAAGTTACCTACATTGATTTCTTTATACAGTCCGCTTCATAAAAACTACTTAAGGAATGGAGGCCGAATAGTGCCGAGGCAGAGTTTATAATGAAATGATTATTAAACCTTTTCCTTGATATTGTTCATTATACCTATACAACTCGGGCATTAGCAACCAGTTGTGATTTGTGTCTGTATTCTAAAGCTCTTTGCAGCCTATTGATGACTTCGTGATCATGGAACTTACCTTGCAAAAACGAACTTCATCATGTGCCCGCTCGAAGGTAGTCATGTACTTGAATTGTTTTAAAACGGACACATCCAGGACAAACACCGTCCTGGATGAACACATCGAAAGCTTTGTCACAATCCACTAATTGATTGCGCGTCACTTCTTTATTGTCACAAAAAGCTACGCGCTTGTTGTAGACTGAAAAAATATATCAGTGCGTTGTAAACAGCAAGCGGGCGCGGCTTGTTTAGGTCGTTCAACAGTTAGACGTTGCGAGTAACGGTGACATAGCCTTCGTTGAAGGTGCGCGCTTGCAGCTCGAAATGCTTTGGTATAAGCAGGAATCGTCATAGACACAGGTTTGTGGCGGATAAAGAATAAAAATCCTACAAGCTACAGTGTTCATTGACAATATAGACCCAGTCTAGGATAGTAAGGAATACCTGACCGCCGAAGGACTGGTTTATTGTCGAAGCCTATAATTATACAGACGGGTTTGTTTAAATTGAGATGAGATGCATTGATTGGCTTGCCCGATGCCGTATAGACTGCAGCAGTAGTTATCGCACTTTTACCTTGCGAAACAACCCCCCTTCAGACATCCCGCCGTGCCAAATTATCGGTAATATACCCAGTAAGAGGGCCATCGATAGCGGCACGCGACCGTGAGATTTCAAATTATGTTATCGATAACGTTGACTTTACTCTTTGCGCTAGTCCTTCATAGCATCGCTTGGCGTATTTCGACATGTTTGAATACTCTAAAAATTCCATCGGTCTGCACCAAACTATTATTCAGTTTTCACTTTAAGCCTAAATCATAGATACGGATCTTGTAATGGCAGCACGTGCCTACAGCAAATAAATAGAATCACGATCTAATTTGCAGATAAGTGCCCTGATGACGTTCTCTATACTTGATGCATTGTGGTCATAGACGGTATTGCGGTCACCAAATACACTGACCATTCGGCAATGCGATCGAACTTCCTTTTCATATACTGGTCCTATCGCACGTAGATTTGTGATGATTCTCTCTAGGACTGAGAGTCCTTATTGAAGAGACGTCGAAGATAATGGTGCCAAGCGATATGGTGCTAGTAGACGACCTCTGCCCCTACAACTGGTGCGGGGATGAAATTCAAGTTGTGTCCGGCAGGAGAAAAAGAGTAACGAATCTGCGTTGTAGTACCATTGAAAATATATTTAAATTGTATATTTAGCTCTAGCAGTATACCTTGAATACTGAGCTTTTTGTGCTTATAATAAAGGAATAGCACGCGATACCACATAGGGAATGCTTTCGGCCACAGGGAATATATTGTACAGCGAGGCAATTGCGAAAGCTGTGAAACCGACCATTTTGAACCTGTATGTCTAAAGGTATGATGATGAAAGCTTGGAATCCTTGGTTAAGATCTCGACTAATCTCTAGTCGCTTTTCCACGTTGCCAGTAACGATTGCACGGCATAAGCATTACGTTCGGAAGCACACGCGCAGACGCACTATATAATACACGAACAGTTTCCCGACTTTTTTGCCCTTTTTGATTTGTTCCTACCGCATACGATACAGTGTCGTTTGTAAATAATGGCCAATGATCTTCAAGACGAAGGTCTGCACCCACGATATATCCGGGTAATAAGGTGTTTGTGCGTTAAATGTTAGCGCTATCCGATAACGAGAATGAGTGTAAGGCTTGTATTTCAACTGTTGTATGTCACACGGAATTGTGTTGCGAACGTAATACAGTTTAAAATTAGAGTTAATAACAAAATGTACCTTTGACCGATATCGCTGAAAGTAGACTTTTCCTAGCTTTACTCGTTAACATAAGCCTCAGCCCTACTCACAGTACTGTCTCACTTAGTATCTTAAGGCTTACATAGTGTATATGGTTTTAACGTTCCATAAGTATGGGAACATATATATATATTACCGTCGCGAAGTATGTTTTATGGGCAAAACTTTGTGAAAGTACTTCAGAAGCTATTCACCAAAGCTGGCGGATCAAGCTGATGCCACACCGCATAGTCATTGTATCTTCTACGATATTGACAGGCCTATAAAACGAGCCTGTCAGGCAGTCAGTCGATGTGTTCTATGCGTTTTGCGTTCGATCGCTTCCTGAATGGAGACGAGATTGGTTTCCCTTAGGATTGGTTCCGCCATAGCAAGCCACCATACAAATTTTCGATAGAGCTAGACTGGGCGATGGACCTGATGAACGACCTTGAACTTCAAAGGTATCAAAAAGGCCCTTCATGCGTGTCTCCATTTCGTTACTCGATTACCTTGAGAGGCCGATACTTCAAAGACAAGCATTGAGAACTTTAGCGCGGTATTGAAATCACTCGTTCGAACGCTGAGTTGAGATTGGCCTTGCGTTTGCTGTTCGGATGAAATTGGTTTTGCAGGCATCGCTTTATGAATGTGCTGGGTCCATTAAAACCACATGGTCAATAGCGGGTCTATGTGCGTACGTTCGTTAAACATGTTTAGTGTTAAATCTATACCTGCACGAGGAGCCGAAGTCATGTGTACTATGACCATAGGCTATTATCACAATGACACAATCTGAAAGAACTGAAATAGGATTCATGGTCTGTTGTATATACATGAGCGAGTTATGTCCTATTGACTCAATTGAGCGAGTTTCAATATCCGTGACAATATTTCAACGAGTAGGCAGACTAATTTTAGTTGAGCGCGAATATATATCTGATCAGATCTGTCGCTACAGGTGGCTTGTGATATGCGAAAAAAAAAAAACTGTTACAGAGCATTACTGATGAGCTTTAGTTAAACCTACTAATAAATGACCACATGTTAATATACATATATTCTATGCAAAACCGTATGTCCCAAAAAGTGTCACCATACTTAGTTCACGAAGAGCAAAACATTATTCGCACATCTGCTGTGCGTTATGCTGCTGTACGTATATAGTAACAATATTCTTTTCCTGTTACTCATTCAGTTAATTATTAAATGTTTAAAGTAAAGCCAAGTTATGTAAGTTCACTATATGTATTCATGAGTCCCTATATAGCTAAGCAAATGATTTGCTGAGTCTGACGATCGGTGGCAATTCTGCAAAAAAAAAAAAAAGGAAAACGTTTCTCTGCATAGCTATCAACATTTCGTCGGTTGTGCTGCGCCAAACAGGCGAAACCAGACAGCCATCGCTGCTTCCTGCAAGAGTCTCTTTTCCGTGCCATAAATCAAGTAGTAGATGGCTACTTATTTACAAACCATTAAGTCTTGCAAGACTTCATGTGACGTCACACTTGGGCTCCTGCTGGCGAGCGCAACTCTACCATTGGAACCTCTAAAGGGTGACAAAATGTAACAGGCCGACCTGGTCTAATCACGCCTAGTCGAAAGGACTCGAGGAACGAAGGCAACAGTGACTCTATACTTAAGCGGCATAAGCTTTCACGCATTTCTTATGTTAATTACTTTACATGCAGAGCACGCGAGCGAGGCAGTCGTAAGGCGACAGTGTAAAGGGGTCCAATTAACTAGAACAGTAACTTCAGGCGCAACGAATAGTTTTCAACGTTAGCCCACATGCGGATGCGACGCCCCTTCTCCAAATTGTTGAAGAAAATAAATCTGCGGAACAACTGGATGTAAAAGGAATACGCAAAAAGGATGAGGAGCGGCAAAGCTTAAGCTGACCTTGAAACTGTTGGTAGACGGGGTGATGGCGGCTTGCGGTTTGTCTCCCGCCAGGAGAAATGCTTCTTGTAGGAAATAAAATAGATCTCGTTTAAATCTTGCTTGACGCGAGAAATCTATACGCAGCTCGTCTAATCTGTATTACGTCAATAGATTTTATGGCAGGTATCAAAACGATTCCTACTCGCGAAAGATGCATGTTTCTTCAACGAAGTCTTCACTAAATCCGTCGATATCATGAATTAACTCGAAAGAGTTAATTCGCTTCGTGAGTCGACTCACCGCACGTTTATCATAGGACCGGACGGACTATACAATAGACCAATGATTACGACACTACCAGGTCAGTGTGGGGAATTAACAATGTCCCGCCTAGAGATTTCTCCCAGTAAAGCCATAGATATGGCTACATGGCACTGTCGTGCCATCATCTACAGTAAACTGCGACCGTGTTACCCCGCCTAATAGGTGTCTGTAATTAGTGGTTTAAAAAATAGTTTTTCGTATATTTTAAACATAACATTTGGGGCTATCCCTGCAGTTCCACGTCTCATTGGTTTTTGCTTGACATTATCGTTAAACTTTAGGTGTTCGAAACGACAATCGCGGCTCGTTTGCCAAATCTACCATGGTGCTCAATAACAGATAAAACAACTCCACCTATCGAACCACGCCATTTAAATCCAATCGTTTATAGCGTCATACGCTTCTAGGGCTAATTTAGAGTTTGATGGTTCACGGTCATAGAGATTCTCAAATTTTATTTCAATAGACATATCTAGTCGTAGTGCTTAACTAATGCTTACCCTGCTCGTCTAGTGAAAAGAAATCTCATCCAGCTTCAAAGGCATTTTGATGGGCAGCTCGCCTTGACCCTCTATTTCTGGTGCCTTACAAAAGTACACAGCCCATTGTGTTTTGTGTAACAGTAGTGGTTTTCAAAATCTAATGAAGAACGGTTCTTACTGTATTAGGCTTACTCCGAAATTCCTAGAAATATATATATATATATATATGTAAAGTCGCCTCAAAGCCAATAGTTACTGTCACCGCTGCCTTCTTGCTTGGCCGGCAGCAAAAAGGTTAACGGGTCTTCTTACCCAACCTGTCATATTTCAGTGCTTCGCCATGGGTCATTTGGCTTACTCCCCTTAGAGGGGTTGGTTCGTCTTTTCTTGATTTGACTACTGACACTGCCAACGCAAGTGAACCTGCAGCAGCGTCTGGCTCTTCCGGTTAGTTTAAGTGGCAAATCCGCCCCCGGCACCGTTAGGTTCTACTAGTTGTAGTTGCGGCGGAGGGCAACCGACCGCAAGGGAGATCAACAACAGGTTCGATAAAACATGGCAACGGCCGTCTTCTTTGCTCCAGTGTTGCGCTACCAGTTACCATGGCCGGTCTCCGACAGCCAGATTGATTATAGGGACATTCCTCAAGCGTGTCCACGCACAAGCTCAGAT